CTTTTTTTATTTACAAAAAAAAATCTCAGTAAATTATCTAGCAAATGACCAATTTTCGCGTAATTAGTTAGTGTATATACAAAATATCATTTTGTAATGAAATGAGGATTTTTCAATCTTCGAAAAGTTTCAACAAGGTTCTATTTTATTGAGAGATTCGAAAATAATAACTGAATAATTATATTTTGAATGTTGTGGAAGTTCATTAGCAATGAAATTTACGTGAATTGTAATTAAATTAATTGGTTTAATTGGTGTATGTACCGGAATTAAAATACTATTTTGCATCGGAATCGAGTGGAAATGATGAGATATGTTTTATTTTATAAATTGAACGCAACGAACAGTTTCGATTTAATTTAATTAAATTGTAACTTTATACAAGAACAAATTGTATCGTTCAATGTAATTAATTTCCTTCCTAGTTTAATTGCCGCCAAATATCAGCATTTAAATTGGAAAATTAATGATAATCTGTGTGTGATAAGTTGGAACATTTAAACAAAATGAAAATTTGAATAAATAACGATTAAATTGGATAATTGAAGCAAAAAAAAAGACCTAGTGTAAACTATAAAATTGAATCATGAAATATAGTTTAATCAGAAATTGAAGAATAAAATAAAATTTTAAGTGGAAAAAAATAAGCACTATTTAAATTGGAAAATTCAATACAAAATTGTGGAAATGGAAAATTAAAATAATAGAAAATCAAAAAATTATGCATAACATCAGAGTATAAAATAGAAATTTGAAGGAAAAACTTAAATTGAAACACAAAAAGACACGGTTTAAACTAGAAAATTGAATTGTAAAGTTGAGTTTAACCCAGAAAATGTAGTAAACATCTAAAGTTGGAGCAGGAAATTAGGAATTGAATCGTTTAATAAGGAAAATGAGCGTTTAATTTGAAAAATTAAGAATAAAATAAAGTTTAAACTGAAAAACTTAAGCGTTTGTAATTGGAAAATTAAAGCAAAGAAACAAGATAAATAGAAAATAGAAGCAAACATTGTGTAAAATTAAAGAAAAACCAAGATAATTGAAGCAAAACTAGCTTTTAAAGACATATTTTAAACTAGAAAATTGAAATGTAAAGTTGAGTATAACGCAGAAAACTGATGCTAAAAAACGTAGTATAAAATCTAAAGTTGGAGCAGGAAATTGAGAATTGAATCGTTCAAAAACGAAAATCAGCTTTTAATTTGAAAAATTAAAAATAAATTAAAGTTTAAACTGGAAACGTTTAAGTTTTAAGAATTAGAAAATTGAAATAAAAATCAGCATTGTAATTAGAGCAAAAAAAAAACAAGATAAACCAAAAAATAGAAGCAAACATTGTGTAAAATTAAAGAAAAAGCAAGAAAATTGAAGCAATGTTTAGCGTTTAAAGAGACAATTAACACTGTATAAATTGTAAAATTGAAGAAAAAAACAACATTTATAGGAAAATTAAACCAAAAATTGCGTTTTAATTGAAGCAAAATAAAAAGCATTCAAATTGAAATATTAAATCAAACAAGGATTAAAATGTAATAAATAAAAATCAGTAGTTAATCTGAAGAACTGAAAATGACTAAATTGGAAAATTTAAGAAAATTATGGAAATGAAAAAAAAATAATTAGAAAATTATAGCAGAAAACTACAAAATTGTGTATGCTTCAATTTTGTAGTTTTTAAAGTGGAAAACTGAAAAAAATAGTATTTAAACTGGAAAACTGATACAATACTCGTTTAACGCGTTTAAGATGAAAAGTTGACCGAGTTTAAACTAGAAAATTTCAGAAATACTAAGCGTTTAATATGAAAATAAAAAATATTTAAACTAGAAAATTGAACCAAAATCTACTGTATTTGCTTAGTAACTATAAAATTATGTAAAGAAAAACAGTGTTTAAACCGTAGAATTGTATTTTAAATAGAAATTAAGATTTGAAACTGAAAAATGGAATGATAATTGATAATTAAAATGGACGTTTAAATTAGAAAATTAAAGCAGAATATATAGAAAATGACTAGAAAATGGAATCATATAATGGAATTTAAACTGAAGCAAAAAAACAAACAGAGTTTAAATTAGGAAATTGTGAAGTAAAAATAAAGCAACGTAAGTGGAAAATTGAATCACAGTGTTTAAATTAAAGAGAAAAGAGAGTTTGAATTGGAAAATTGGAGATTTTTTTTAAGCTGTTATTTAAATGGATATCGTTTGGAATCAAATGGAGTGAAGGAACGCCAAGCGAATACATTTCCGAAGAGAAGATTTCGCGGAATGCACGCGTTGATGTCGATGAAAATTAACTCGGGTGGCAATTTCCACTCAGGAATTTTGCATAAACTTTGACCTGCTTTTGCTTAATTATCCTTTGTGCGGGATCGGTACACGTCTATGTCTAAGTAAGTGAGTAGTGCATGCAGGAGGATCTGTTACATTTTGCAATACATGATACTCCTCGGTTGTAAGATACATATTCAAATATTGACATAACTCCTGCAACAATTTGCACAGTAATTTCATTCATTAAACACAACACAAACTGCTTGAACTCAAATATAGTTAACAAGTGTTTTCTTTGTGATAAAATCGAAGTATTTTATTTTCTTTCCATAAAATCGATAAACCTACGATCGAACTGAAAGAGAAGAGAGCAAAGAGATGCTAACAACGCAGTTTACTCCTCTTTCGCAGCTCGAACAGAGATCAAATTCACTTTGACAAAGTTACGTGATCAGCTCTTTCATTGCTTCTACTTCTCTTTCATTCTTCTGATTCACTTTCCTTAGAAAACACGTAAAAGGTTAAAGGTTAAATCCGATCGGAATCTGAAAACGTGAAAAAGCTCGATTAGCTTACAAGAATATCGACCTCAAAATACATTATTTACACATGGAATTAATAATATTGCTTTCGCATCTGAAAGCCCTCAAGACGTTGACCGACCTTCCACACATTTTGGCCAAGACCTCCTCTCTCTCTCACACACACTCTACGTTCTATAATCGGGTTATTGAGAGACATGGGTTCGTTCTATTTGACTAACAGACGTAAACCATTGACCAAAAGCGCTTATTCCAAATTGGAATTATCTTCTATAATTATAACTGCATCCAGTTATAACTAACAGTTTAAATCAACATCTTTAATAGCTTCAGATAATAACTAGCAATAAACAGAACTTTATTAAATCTTGTTAATTAATTAGTCTACATTCTTAACCAGTGTTTCTCAACCTTAAAACAAGTTTTGACGCTTTTACGCAAGCTGACAGCTGTCGTGACTCATTAAACCTAAAACACGATCCAATATTGGTTCAAAAATATTTATAATCCTCATTTTAGAATATATTTTCTAAACAGAACTATATGTTTACTAACAAAAAAAAGCACATTTCCATACGATTTTCATGTGCGTCAACTGAATTATCGATATTTCTATTTATAATCATGGGAAATGGTAAATGATTGTCGATTTACGTCCTTCCACAGTCGCTTAAAAAGCAACATGTGTCACATTTTCATCTTTTGTTTTGTAAAGTAAATAACAGAATTACACGAAAAAAATCATTATTAACCCATCAAATCCAACTCCATTACAATCATGTAAATCAATACGGAAACACCACGTTATGCGCAATTAAATCGGTGATTACGATCTGCCCATTAATTATTTTGTACATTCTCTTTTTTTTTCCATTAAAACTCTCCCTTTTTTTTAAATATCCTCAGATTAATGACGTTCGAAACTAATTCTTCTAAAAGCATCTTTACATTAACCTGAAAAGCATTTTTAACGAGAAAAGCATCGTAAATACATTTTTTTGATTCTCCAATATATTTATGGAGATTAGTGTCAAGTGACCTGTGTTAAAAATACATTTGACAAGTATTATGAAAAATGTAACTAATTACAAAACAAGCTATGGTAGTTATGTAAACTATGCAGATTAGTAAATAATACGTCATGATTTAATGACAACCGACAAGGTACTAGGTTCAAAACCAATTTTTCTCTTTTAATTAATATTTAAAGAATCATAAAAACTTTTTAATTCCTATGGATATGTTTGAAAATATGTGTTAATTAACGAATTTGGTAAAAGTAGCTAATTGAAAAACAACTTATGGTGGCCATGGAAACTACGCACATTCTGTAAGGTAACTGTCAAATTACTTGTTTAGTTACCAGTCTTAATGTACAACTATAAAATATTAAATAAAAACAGTTCTATTTGTTCTCGACTCTGCGACGATTTTTTTTAATTCTATTTTATTTACAACTCGATCCATCTTGTACGATGCAGATCCTTTTCTCTCATTCTATCTTTGGTTAAGCCATTTGCTCCACACCCTCGCATCCTTCCTTCCTATTCCATCCTACTTTTTTTTATTCTCACTCCTCTGGGAGCAAGCGACCGAGCCGCGCTCTTTACTCCAACGTTCCCATTCGTCTTTCTCTACATTGGATTTCAGCATCCTTCAGTATTTATTTTTTGTACGCTCCCTTTCGCATCTCCACGACAAAATCCTGCCATGATCCTTTGATGTTTTTACACACCTCATGTTCTTTTAGTTTTAGTTAAAACGCTGCTCAAGCGCGTTTAAAAAATCAACACTGCTGCGTTCATTCAATGTGAACTCAAAACTTTTGCCACGTTTTATCTTAATTAATTAATCAACTTTGAGAGTCTTCTAAAATTCAATTATCCAATTTATGTATATTTTATGATGATGAAAATTTTCTTAATTTTCACAAGAATCTACATATATACGTCGCTTTTGGAATTATTAACTCATGAAGACATTATTCAAGTGTTTCAAGAGATTGGGATTAGATATTCTTAGAATATATGACGAAATTAATGGGTTCTAAATCCTTTGAAACTCCTATGAGAAATTGCTTATTTCCTATTGCCATTCTTCTTCGTTTCCTATATATAAGTTATAGGCAACCAGTTATGCATTTAATGGAACAACAACTGTAGGATTTTCAGCTTGCATAACATGATCATCTAGTAAGCGTAATCAATTGGATCATATTAAAATAACAAAGTAGCATCGATTTGCTGATGCAGCATTGGTTACGAAAGATGAGCAAGGTGTCATAACAAAGCATCATAACCTAAAAATAAACATTAGTAGTCAGAAAATTCGTAAATATTATGCACAAAGTGCGAGTTTTCATCGAGTATTTACAATAAATATTATTGTGAGATCATTGCCCATCGAGAGAACATAAAGTTTATAGGTGACATCTTACATGATGATCGACAAGATGAGTGTTTCCCAACAGGAGTTGATACGTAAGAAGTTGGAAAAGGATTCCAAACTGTTGCTCTTCATATGCAAATTGAAATATCCGAGATATGCATCATTTATATTTCCTGTTTATATGTTACTGAAGTACATTAAGATTAAGAAGAGCGGTAAGAAGTTTCAGTTGCGTCAGGTGCCTCAAGAATTGATAAAACAATTGAGCAAATCGAACGCCTACGCTGATGTGAATAATTGCGTAATTGTCGACGATGGTTACTGGAAGGCCATCCTGAATGAAGCTCTTTACGTGAGGATCAAGGCCGGAGGGAAGTCGCGCGTGGCGCAGGTGGTTTCCGGTAAAGTTGGAGATGAAGAAGTTTTGATTTCGGATACGCTGAAATTCAATTTGAAGATGGAAATTGGATCTTTGGCTCCTGTTAGTTTCGAGAGTATTAAGATCGCTTCGCAGATTTATGTTTCGCTCGTGTCGTCTCCTCACAATCTTAATGCTCTCTTGACCGATACTCTTCTGAAGAACTACTTCAAGTGTCCGAAACTGGTGTACAAGGAGGACGTTATTTCTATAAGGCTACAAGATTACGCTCCCGATCATTACTACAGCAATCCCAAATTGAACGAAGCGGAATGGGTCTATTTCAGGTGCAATAAGATTACGTTCTCGTACGGCGATGAGTGTCCAGGTGGCGAAGGTTGCTTGGGTGTCGTCGGACCTACGGGGCTAATACAGTCGGCGGACGTGCAGAGTTCGCTCCCGCCGCGCTTGCAATCGATACGAGACAGAATTGAAGGAAATTGCACGGATAATTTACTCGGTCTCTATCCCGAGGGACTGTCGTTGTACTTCCGGCAGCTGGAGCGCGCCGCAAAACCCTTCCTTAAAGACAGTAAATATGAACAGTAAAGTACACGGCGTAATCCGCAAAACTCTAGAGACGTGCATGCATTTTAGATAAACTGAAATTGAGGGCGACCATCCTGCTGCAGGGCGGTCGTGGATCCGGGAAGAAGCTGATACTAACATCGTTCGCCAAGAAGTTGGGTCTGCAGATCTGCAAACTCGGATTGAACGATCTGACGGCGCACGCTTATTCGCAGACAGAAATCAAGATGAGAAACGCTTTCTTCAAAGCAAAACTCTGCTCACCAACAATTGTTGTCATTAACAATTTCGAGGTATACCAATTGTATTTGAAATTTTACAACATTAAAAACACTGGAATTTTTTTAGAATTTTTGCAAAAACAACGAAGGTCAACACGATTCCCGCATCATCAGCTACTTCGTAAACGAACTGAACAACCTCTTCAGCAACAATAAGCATCCGGTGATATTGGTATGCGTCAGCAACACAAAGGATTTACCCTCCGAGCTGAGCAGAGTCTTCCTCGAGACGATCACATTCGAAGCGCCGAATCAAACGGAGAGATCGCAAATTCTCGAGTGGATCGTCGCGAAGAAATCGTTAAAAGTGCGAGCGAATCTTTCGGAGATTGCAGGAAAAACGCACGGATTTTTGTACGAAGATTTGGAGGCGCTGGTATACTATGCAAATAAGAATTCGCTGTTTGCGAAGACTGAAGCTATCACCGATAAAGATTTTGAGTATTCCATGGGTTAGTGTACATTTATGTGATTGAGTTTAGAAATGGTATATGATGGAATTTCAGATGTAATGCAATCGAATTACACGCAAACCGTCGGTGTTCCCAAGGTGCCGAAGGTCCAGTGGTCCGACATCGGTGGATTAGAGGATGTTAAAAGGGAAATTATTAATACGATTAATTTGCCTTTGAAGCATTCCAAGCTTCTGCAAAGCACACTTCTGAAACGATCAGGTATGAAATCCTGTTTAATTACAACTGTGGGCAATTTAAGTTAATGTCTTGAAAAATAGTAAAGACGAAATCTAATAAATAATCTATATTGTTCTAATACTAAAAACAATAACATAAAAAAACGTTCTATATAACGTTTTTTTATGTTATTGTGTTAATTAATAGGAATTTTACTATATGGACCACCTGGAACTGGGAAGACGCTGATTGCAAAGGCAGTAGCCACCGAATGCAACCTCTGCTTCCTTTCGGTGAAAGGACCTGAACTGTTGAACATGTACGTTGGACAATCCGAGCAGAACGTTCGTGAAGGTACAGTAACAGACTTCAATGATTCAATCATCTTTAATATAAATTTTCAGTGTTTGAGAAGGCTAGACAGGCGTCACCGTGCATCGTCTTCTTCGACGAGTTGGATTCTCTAGCTCCAAACCGCGGCATGTCCGGAGATTCCGGCGGAGTCATGGATCGTGTGGTTTCTCAGCTCCTCTCCGAAATGGACGGCCTCAATGAAAACGGAACGATCTTCGTTATAGGTCCATAAACAACATTATCTAACGTCGCAGCAAACTAGTATATATATCTCTACTTTTAGGTGCGACCAACAGACCGGATTTGATCGATCCTGCGCTTCTTCGGCCAGGCCGATTCGATAAGCTCCTTTACGTCGGGCCGTGCACGGACAACCCGTCCAAAGTGGCGGTCGTAAAAGCGTTGACCAGAAAGTAAGTGTTTCTCAATATGAAGAGAATCTCGTGCATTTCACGCGTTTTCAGGTTCAAGTTATCCGAGAAAGTCAATCTGCAGAATATTGTGAATACTTGTCCGGACAATGTCACCGGTGCAGACTTTTACGGGATTTGTTCGAACGCCTGGATGACTGCAGCCTGTAGACTCATAAAGAAAATCGAGAAAGGTAACAGCATTAAATAGAACCACAATTGGGTTAACTCATCACTTTCTTTCTAAAGGATCAATAGAGAAGGTCGACGAGCTTACCCATGACAGTGTGGTGGTTACACTCAAGGATTTCGAAGACGCCATCGCCAATGTTAAATCATCGATAAGTCCAGCCGATTTACGGTATTTCGAGAATTTACGGAAGGAGTTAAATACTAAAAACTAGAAATATTATAAGGGTTTTACGCATTGTTGATTTTTTAAATATTTAATAAAAATTTTAACTAAGAAGAAAAAGTTTTTTTTTTGTTATATTCAATTTAATGAATGAAGTTTTCAAGTTCAATAGTAATTACAACTACTTCTAAATATAATTATGAAAAACTTTGTTTCTTTTTTCCAATATATCATGAAAATTATGCTTCATCTCTTGTCGTTCAATTGAATAACTCGTACATAAAATAATGCTGCAGATGATAAATGTAATCTGGAGTATGGCAGTTGTTTTTTAACCTTTCGAGTACATTCCTTTTTAGCGCAGATAATCTGAATAAGTCCTCAGTACAACGAGCACGATCCAACATCTAAATGCCATCTGCTTGATTACTACATTAATTTGAGAATTTTACAAAAGACAAAAAAAACAACTTGACAATATTAATGAAACCTATAAAAGCAACACAAAGAGTAATCAAAAAGTATATGAGCAATTAATACATTTGTAAACAATTGACCCTTACTTCAAAACGTTTGATATTCTATTTTAGTGTTTAGTTTTATAATTGTAATCATTCCATTCTTGAAAACTGACATGTATAGATTTAGAATGTATCAAGTATTGTAGCAAACATTGTATTTAATCTAGAAAATTTAATAACACCTTTTCTATAATAGCACTTTTGATAATTAATGGTTGGCCATGTCTTCTTGTGATATTTTAGAAGTTTCTATAAATCTTTTCTTAAAAATCCATATGAATTGAAAGTGGAGAACTTTTGTCGTGCTTCAATAATTTGTTTAGTTTTATGTTTTAAGTTTATAAATCTCAGAAAATCAAATAATTTGTATATTCAATTTACTATATATTGAGTTAGTTAACTTGTCATCAAAGTAGTTTGGATTTATCAACTTGCTCGTATCTCAAAGCAATTTTCCCCATTGAAATAAATTGAAATGCCATTAATCCAACTTATCAAAAATGCTTCGAAAACGAGGGAAACAAGAACACAGACTGAGGTGGAAGAAACTGTATCTCATCTCAAAGCAAAATATCGCACGCTCGGCGGCTCGTATTTAAAAACACTCGTATATCGAGGTACCACTGTATATTAATTTTAATTCAGAGATGTTTTATACCATTGAAATTATGTATGTATCATACATGAAATAATGTTTACTAATTATGTATTAATTTTGGAGTTAAAACCTACTTAAGAAATGGTTAAACTTTAGTTTTGCTTTAGTAATTAGAAGAATGAATATGTTTTGGGAGAAATAAATAATAGGAATTTGATTAATTGTAAAATATATTATTATTATTACATTCACAGCCTTGAACAGAAAACAAAAAGGATTACATCTAAGTTACATGCAACTAATATAATTTTTTGATACACACAAAAAAAAATAGAGAAGCAATCGGTCCGTAACGTCTGCGTCGCCGTTTCATTTAGAACAAAGAAACGACGCGAGAGACTTGGATATATCACAAACATACGAAGAAGAAGTAGAAGAAAAGAAAAACATTTGCAAATTTAACAATTGAAATCTATCACAATCAGTCTATCATTATTATTGCAAATAATAATAATTGATTTATACTATAAATAAATAATTAAATTATTAAGAATGAATATAATCACAGGTGAACTTGTTGTTGATTTTTGTTGTAAAAGAATATCATATCATAGTAGCATTACTGGATCCCGTAATGTATGTACCTTTCGCACCAAGCGTAGACGCCGTCTTCGTCGCTGCAGCACATCGGATAAACCAACGGGGATTTCGTCTGTTTCGCGCATTTCTGGCAAGTCTCATCCATTTTGGCCTGAAGAAGTAGTTAATATGTTAAACATTAGCTGATCAGAAGAAATGCAAGAGAACTTACGACTAAGCAGAGTTCCCCCTTCGTCGAAATGTCCCTAGGTCTCGCTTCTATCGAGTTAATCAGGACACACAGCGCTGCTACGCAAAAGACCACCACGATCTGAGAGGGTAAAAGAGAAGAAAAAACGTTAGTGAATGAATGAATGAAAATAAAACGAATCTAATGACGTTTGTTCTACATATTTAATTCAGGCCATCTGCGATCAATCGTTCTCTTTTTGTCTTCTTCTTCTTTACTGAATCGATTTGCATTTGATGAATGTTATTATGACTTTGCGACATAGATTTTCTCTCTCCTCTCTGTCTGTTTTAATTACTTAATCCGCGCCAATTATCGCGAATAATTTCCAAACCGAAAAACATGATTAATTGCACATGATTATTCCGTCCATCTGAGTCGAATTTCGCTCTTTCTGCAGACGATCAACGCTAATTAAAACCCGATCCAATTTATTTAATCGCAAACAAACAATTTGTTGTTTCCACAAACACCCGTTATTATCTCGCACTCATTTCCGCGTAAACAAATTTTGTTATTCAAATATTTCCCATTATTCTCCCAGTTTTCTCTACTTTTCACCGAAATTAATTAATGTTAAGTTAAATCTCCAGCCAAATCGATTGGTTGCGTTTTCTTTATTTTTTTTTACTACTGCGGTATTTAATCGCATAAAAATGCATCATCTCTTGACCACATGCCGCCTCTCAGATCCGTTTGCAAAATTTAAAACAAACGAACGCAAAAAGAAAAAGAGACGAGCGAATAAGAATAAATAAAACAAGTGCGATTACGAGTGGAGAGAAAAGAAGGCGCGCGGATTACAATTTGAAAGTTTAAATTTAAAAGTATCCATACCTTTCCGTTGCTTTTGCCCATTTTTTTTTTATATTTCTCTGTGTTTCTCGTTGTAATTGTGTATCGAAGAACTAAACTAAATAATCGGCGACACTGTGAATAAACTGTTACGTTTTTCTTATGGGTTTTTTTGGTGTTTGAAGCGCGGTCGCTGCAAATGCGGATGGATCGTGTTTTTAATACCGCCGTGGGGATTCGAGTGATACTAAAGATAGAGGAGGAAGCCTTTTGATTTATATATGACCTATGAATAAAGTCCAAATAAAAATTAATCGCTGTGTGTATATATTGCGAGAGAGTAGTAGTAGCAGGGACGGCGACGCCGACGGAGGCGGAGGATCGAAGGAAAGAGAGAGAGAGAACAAGGTTTTTATGTTCCAGGAAATGAACGGACAAACGGGAACTGCTACTACTATATCCTCTTCGAACATGCAAATTCTTCACTCATCCACAACATCTTTTCATTCGTTCCTTTCGAAAAGCTCATTTCTACCATAATTTTATCTATGATCTTCATTTCGAAAATAAGCATGAATTATTTCCTCCAAATGAGAATAGAAAAGTTCCCGAAATTATGGTATATTTGCACAACTCATAAAATAACTCAATCTGGACCTAGAAAATTATTCAAGCAAACATTCATAATTTGTTTCCTAAAAAGTTGATTTAGTATAAAAAAAAGATTAATAATAATAAAGATTTCATGATGTTGCATTTAGTTTACTTCGAATGTTCAATTTTGTCTCTTTTGCATAACATGATGAAACTGAATATCTTCAAACAGGTAGAAAATATTTTCAAAGAGTATTCAAAAGTCAAAATGTTGTATTATGTATTTATTTCTAGAAGTTCATACTTTTACATTAAAAAAAATAAATAATATTCAAATTAACGTTCTGAACTTCTTAATTATATATTTTCATAACTTCTTTTCTGTGTATCTTTCTAGACAATATACAGTAGGGTTTATACAAAAACCGAATTAAAAAAATTTCGAATCACAACTTCTCTACAAAAACCGGTTAAAACCAAATCAGGTTTTCGAAGATATTTCATGAATTGATTTTTCTATTATATCTTCTATTCCATACCGTCCGACAATTAAGAATGAGACTTCATTTTTTCCCGGGATTAAGAATCTCTGGACACCGTAGATTATCTCGTAGTTATGTCGTTGTGGATTCTTAGAGGGGTTTATCAGAGTTTTATTCAACTATACAATAGTTGATCACATGGATTATTAACTAACAGCTAAATTCTCCTCTTCAGTTAGTAATTAAGAAGTAAGTGCTCTTACCTGGACTCTCCAAGAAAGACCATTTTCACACTTCAACCCTCCAACTAAGCTATCTTCTCAGTTTGCCCCCTAGCTAAGACTAAATTATATAATACAAAAGTGTCGTCTTATGTATGAAGATGTACCGAATACCAAATAATGTTCTAAGGGTACAGGCTAATTTGCCATGTAGGCGCCGGCGGATGTACTTCAAAGGCGCCGCTGTCGGTAAGGTCTAAAGGGTGACAAATCTTACAATTTTTTATGGAGATTAATTGTGGGTGGCATAGTTTTTATAGGTAAATGCCCGACTTGTAACAAACCACCCCTTTAAGAAAGTTGCGTAAATGGGTTGTAAAAACTAGCAAAGTATGAAAAACCAAAAGAGTTTCTCCAAAAGGGAGATGTTCGTGGGAATTTTCAATAATACTGTACTTATTGATACACAGTACATATTAACATATATATCGATAATTAATAATAACGTGATTGGACACAACAAAAGTTTTAAAAAAACAATAAACCCTAATATTAAGTATATACAAATGGAAGTTACTAAAGATGATTTAATTTCCGTATTTTAAGATAGTTTTTAGTCTGATTGGGTTCCGGAGTTTTCTATCTTTCTTTTTAGATAACATCAAATATGAGATAAAATAAATGATTTGTCATTGATGACTAATTCCGGGCAGACAGATTTGATGTAGATTTGATAAATCAAAGGTCCAAGTACACTTCCTTGAGGCACACCTGACTCAATTATAACAAAAACATGATTACAAATATTAATCGTAGATGAATTTCACTTTTTTTTTATCTTGACTTTACAAATGAGCATAAATCAAAAACCCTTTTATGTAATATATTCAATGAAAAGAACAAATTGTACAATTTCTTCTGCAACTGGGAAAAAAATAATCTGTTCATTTGTAAATGTTGCTAATGCATTTTCATTATTTAAGTAATTTCCAGTGTCTTCTAATAGATTCGTTTTTTCGTAATCTTAATGTTTCTGGATATAAAGAACAAATTATCATCTTTTATTTAATGTTTATTTTATGCAAATTAAAGAAAGCAAATTCTTTTGATTATTTTCCAATATCTTCTAAGAAAACTTGCAATTTAATGTGGTTTTTGTATAAAAAAAAAACGACAAATTAAGTTGGTATAACTATCATAAGTAAATGACGTAAAGTTAATTTAATAAATAAACATCCGTATTTCAACTTTCAATTATTTTTTTAATATTATTAGTAGAGTCGGTTTCCATGGAAACACAGCCTTCTATGATAAAATATATAATTCTCATTCTAATTTATAAGTGTTAAAATACGTTTCATTATGTAACATAATTATATTTTTTGATATAAAACAAAATTAAAAAATAATTAATGACAATGGTCTAATGTCATTATCGCCTATTGTCATTAAGTATAACTATTATAATAAAACAGAGATAAAGTTAAGTTGGTACAGATGTCAGTGGTATGGTAGTAATTATCAAGTTGGCAAATTTAAGATACTTGATATTATTTACTTTACTATTTTACTTTAGTTAAAACTATACAAATTAATGGACGAAAAGAACAAATTGTACTGTTTTGTTTAAATCTATGAAATTAACAATTCCTTCTGCAACTGAAAAAGTAATTTCCAGTGTCTTCTATAGATTCGTTTTTTTTCGTAATCTTAATGTTTCTGGATATAAAGAACAAATTATCATCTTGTATTTAATATTTATTTTGTGCAAATTAAAGAAAGCATCAAATTCTGTTGATTGTTTTCCAATATCTTCCAATAAAACGACAAATTAAAAAGAGCAAATCATACTTTTAAAACGTGCATGTAACTTTTCTTCCTGTAACTGAAAATTGCTTTCGATTGCAGATAGAATGCTGCAGATAGTTCATTGATCTATCGATCTATTCTCGACGATAATGAATCATAATATATAAAACGAGAGGAGAGAGCAGAAAAAAAAAAACAATGTTGAAAGTATACAACAAGCGAACGCACATTAGGTAAATCGATTCGTTTCTGCTCCATTTCTAGTCTACGAATGTTATCAGTCGGCCAAAGGTCGTACCTTATTTTGAAGATCAGCGGATAAACCGAGATCTCCGAGTTCGACATATTATTATACAAACATCGATGATTAACTGTATCAATCAATGTGTTTAGAATCTGTTTTACCTCCAGGATATGCCACATAATGTTAACAACAAATTGTCTTCATTTAACACAACAATCTGTCGTTTCTCTTAAAGATGCAATCATCATTTGTCCATGAACTTATCAATTATTATTTTTTCTTAAACCGTTTCCTTCCAGATTATGTATTTATATCGCATGCAGATAAAGCAGTTAAAAAAATAATAATAATTCGAACAACTCCCTAAACTTCTTGTGATCTCATTTTGACAACATGTTTACCACAAAAATCTAGACATCGCTTTTCTATCTCATCGAAAAAATGTCGTTCAGCCATAAATTGAGTCGCATAATCCCATAATTACATTTACAAAATTATTGTCTCAAGATTTTTAACGAATTGTAACAATATTATTGTAGACTTGTAACGTTCTAAATATTAAAACTACAATGCGAAAGATTCCTTCCTTATTATTCTTATTAATTAACAAAATCCAACAGTTATTTATGTTTCATTAATTGTATGTTTGCTTGGAATAAGTTATAATTACTCTGTTTGTTTATAAATAATATAATAATTGTTTACATTCTGCTCTTCGCGAATCTCTTTCTTCGGAATGTCGAATGGTAAGCAATTAATTCTGATGGTTAATTTCCAATCGAATTAATTGGAATCTTCATCTTTGTTGTCTTCCTGTCTATCAGTAAACTCATACGAGACGATCCAATAATCAAAACAAAATAAATGCAGACATTATTGCATTAACTACTATGAAATCAATGATGATTTCTTTAAATCAATTAGTCAGCGCTTGTAAATATCTTTCTGTATCTCAAAACTCTCGAAAAAATAAATGGTAATTAATAGTGTCTGTTAGTTTGGAACACATAAACACGTCCTTATAACCTATTTAATTAGGGTAGATTTTTAAGTGTTATAATTCGTTTCATTATGTAATCACAAATTAAGGGATTAGAAAATTTTAAAAACAAATTGATGCAAAGTGACAGTTTACGTCAATTTGACATTAAATTGACGTGAAGTTAAGTTGGTATAACTATCGGTGACAGTACCAAATAGAACTCATCAGCACAGAACATGACATATCAGAACGTCATACAAGAAAACAGGTCTAAAAGAATAGCGAAAAACAGTAATAAAATAGAATAGTACAAAAAAAGAGGACAGCATAGAAACATTTTATTTGGAAAAAATATTGATTAAAATTCACGTTCTGCGTTATCATGATCATAACACCATAACTATCATAAGTAAATGACTTAATGGCGTAAAGTTATGTTGGTATACCTGTCATAAACATCTATATTTCAAATGTCATTTTTTTTTTTTAAATATTATTAGTAGAGTTGGTTACCGTGGAAACACAGCCTTGTATTGATAAAATATATAATTCCCACTCTAATTTATAAGTGTGAAAATACGTTTCATTATGTAATTTTTAAGAATATTAAAAAGTAATTAATGCAGAGTGACTTAATGACAATAGGCTAATGTCATTATAACCTATTGTCATTAAGTATTACTAATATAATAAAATTGACGTAAAGTTAAGTTGGTACACTCTAATTTATAAGTGTAAAAATTGGTGGCAATCGCAAGCCCGACAACCAAAATCCCGTCTATCGAAATCCCGACGTTTGAAATACCGAGTGTATCGAAATCCCGATACACTTTTATTATTATAAATTTCTACAAAAACATTTTTATGGTAGTCGGGATTTCGATATAGTCGGGATTTTGATATAGTCGGGATTTAGATATATTCGGGATTTCGATATAGTTGATATTTTGATTGTCGGGATTATGGTAGTCGGGATTTTAATACAGACGGG